GCTGGGTGGGCACTCCTGCAGGAAGCTGGCTGGGGACTGAGGGAGCGGGGAGGTGTTGGGAAAAGCCCCACATAGAGAGCCTGCCTGGCTGGCAGTGTGTGGATGCAGAGCGGTGTGGTATAGGACCTTCAGGGAAACTGCACATGGAGGTGCGGAGTCTGCTTAGGCCAGTACTGTTCCACTCCAAGTCCATGTGCCTCTGGCTGGGCAGGTACTCCATGCGCAGCTTTCATCAGTACCTCCCCACTCCTTCAGCCCCCAGCCAGCTTCCCACAGGAGTGCCTGCCCAGTTGGTGGCATGTGGACCCAGAGTGACATGCTATCAGCCCTTCAGGGAAGCCACACACAGTGTGCACCTGCCTTACCCCCACCCCCCACACAGATCTGGGGGGTATGGGTCCCCCCTACCCCTCAGGAGTGTGTGCTGCCACTGAGATCTGGCCCTGCCCACACCTTCGCCCTCAGCAGGCAGGCAGCACTGGGGGAGCTGACTGTGCTCCTTCTGCTACAGCAGCCACTGCCTTCTGTTGGGGGCAGGGAGTTGTAGACCTGGGTTGCTGGACCCAAAGCCCTGGCAGCTGGGATCGCCCTCCAGGTGGGCTGGGGAGTAGGGGCTGTGCTCTGGCAACACCCTTGCCCCTTGAGCAGGGAGTGGGGAAAAGCCTGGGACAGTGCAGATGGGGTGGAGGTTTACACCCCTCCCTAATCAGAGGTCTTGCCAGGGCCTGGCCATGCCATCTCCCCTCAGCTCAGCACTGTGGAAGGGAAAGGAGTGCTGCTCTAGTGCCCCCTGACTTCTAGCCTAAGCCACTGCAGGCATGTGCCTGCATTTCTTCAGTCCAGAGGGGATGTCTGAACGGTTACAAACCAGTTCAGCCTAGCCAGGTTAGACTAACCTGCAAAGACTGAATCAATTTAGGCTCAGGCTGTTTGAATGTCTGTCCCTAGCCTGAGAGACTAAGTGAAGGCGGTTAATCATACAAGTCAAAAGTGACAGAGAGTGGTGGAACATGATCTGTGCTTCCTCTGGGCCTACTGCATTGATAAACAGAACTTAGTAAGATACCTGCTGTTTCATCTCTTCTGGCCTATATTTTTCGTTGAGAATGGAAGTGATTTGGGCCATGGATTGTTCATTGCTATACTTCTGCACAGTTCCTCATACAATGGAGCTCTGATTGCAGGTCAGGCCTATATGTACTACTGTTTTATTAATAATAACAACAACCACCACTGCCTTGTGCTTGTGGCATAGGAATGGAAGCTGAAATACCAGGCTCTTGCATAAATTTCCTGTGTGACCTTGGACACATCAGTTATTTTGTGTGTTCATCTCCTGTTAAGATGTGGATAGTACTTTCCTCTTGGGGCCTTATGAGGCTAAATCACTTAATGTTTGCAAAGCACAGCAGGCTTCTCAATGAATGATGCTATAACCATGTAAATCAACTGTACCAGAATATTTACTGATTATTCATTGGATTTTATCACTATTTTTCTTACAAATCTGTCTGAAAATGCCAATAGTTAGAAATGTATATCCTCCTATTTCTTATTGTATCACTTCAGGCCTTTTCCAAAATTTTCTTTGTGTATATTGACTTAAAATACATTTTCTTTTTGGTGCTTTTCCTTGCAGGTGGCTAATGTTCCCTTTATGGATGGCATAGTGGGGATGAAATGTGATCATTAAATTAATATCCACTTTAACTATACAAGTCTGCATTTAGACTGAAGGAAAAATATGTGTAATTTGCTTTGCCTTTACCTTGCAGTCTCTCTCATTATAAGCAGTATCTTGATGGCTTTATTTCTACATAGTAATTATTTTCATGATAATCTCTCTTTGTTCATACAGTATTAATATGGCATTTTTTCTTCTCCACTGAAATTAATTCCAGTGACTGCAGACCAGGCAAAATATTCTAGTGCTGTCGCACGCTATGACTAATCTTAGTATTGCCTCCACTCTTGCTTTATGAATCTTGGCTCACTACCAGAGCCTGAGCTTTCATTTCTCTAACAGCAGTATATGCTAAGAAGCAGTTGGCTGACACACACAAACTCACACATATGCAATTGCAGTATCAGCTCATATTTATTTTCAGTAATATTAAATGTTCCTCCTTCATGTTATGAAGATGCAGGTGTGGCTCTGTTGGGGTCTACCTAGCACTGGCCTTGTGGACAAGTTTTGTTCAGCATCCTAATGAGGCTTAACTTACAGCAGAGAACTTGGGCCGTGCATATTAAAAGCTATACAAGAGGCCTAAGCTTGTTAACATGATGCTAAGGCATTTTGCATCCAAAGAGCTCAAAGGATTTTATAAATATGCATTTGTTATGACCCAGAACACTGCTGTCAGGTTGGGGAAATAGTATCACGTGCAACATTAGAAGGAGGAAAACTCAGGCACTGATAAGCTGATGATTGGCCTAAGGTTGCAGAAACAAAGCCAGCAACAGAACATGCCACCTAATGATTCTCTCAGTTGGATTCTCTCCACTAAGGCAGCTCTCAGTCATACCTGTTAAGAAGGTAGAGGTCTTTAAAGCTGGAGATTCTATACAAATTATGTAGTTAGCCCTTAATTTGCATATTAATAGAAATTTATTACTTGATTTCCATAGACCCACCACTGTCATACTACCTTTCATTCCTTTGCTCTTTTTCCCTGCTGAACCATCATTTCTCATCTGAAGTTGCCATCTGTTCCCCTCCATCAGTGCAGCTCGCCACACTCCCACCTGTAGGTTTTCTCCCACCTCTGATTTTAACTCAAATTCTCATGTTAGCTCCCTTCACTCCTCCCCACCCTTTTTTAAATCCCTAGGTCTATTAGGATTTCACACCCTTTCCAACAGCATGGCCACGGCCACAGAGCTATGCTCAGAGCAGTGCCCAGTGCACTGCATCTCTCTTGCTACACAGGTTGAGGGTTGAGTTCTTGGCAGTTCACCATAGTCAGACATGGCATCATAAGGTGTCTCCAATTAGAGGAGGCTAACCACAGACTTAGGCGTATTGCTTTTCACCAGTAGCTCTAGAGCTCCCCTAGGACTGGACTTTAAATGTCTTTCTAAAAGAGATGCTGTTATTTCAGCCACACGTTCTTGTGCTTCAAGGAGGTGAAATTTGGTGGTTTGTGTTATGAAGGAGGTGAGACTAGATTATCACCACAATCATTCCACCTGGCTTTAAAATGTATGATCCATCAGGGACACCCAAATTTGGGAATCTCCTAGCCAGTCCAGGAAACTCAAAAGGCTGGCACAATGCAAAGAAGACAAGGGTTTAGCGCTGGATGTCTACACAAAGGACTGACTCATTTCCAGAGCTCAGAATGGCTGTGATCACAGTGGGGTAGCTTCTCTGGTCCACAAGAAACACAGGAACTTTTATAGGTAGATGTGCCTAGTGGGTAAGAACATAATTACAAACCCAAGGAAGGGGCATCACATTTGTTTCTATTATCCCTGTTCTCAAGAGCTACGTATTTTAAGAAACTTACATACGAGTTTGTCTTTTTTTTAATTGTCAGAATTATTGGCTTTAATTCTTTGAACCAGCATGATGATTTCCTGCATCCTGTTTAGCATGTTCGGAAAATAAATTTGCATCAAAGCTGGGTTTTTTGATACAGCTGGTTAAAATAACTTGGTAACACTGAAATGCCACAAAAAGAAAACTGATAGTTATTGATTCTTTGATCTAGCAGTGAAACACAGCTTTTCAAAGAGTAAACTCAGCTCTGATAATGTGCTGTCTGTATGTTAAAGGATTCTTGGTAGTAAAATCAAACAAAGAACCAGAAATTATAGTTTATTCCATGGCTAAAAATAGCCAGCGAGAGCCAATAAGCATGCTGCCCAGCTGAGAGGCTTCTTAAAAGTATAGTAGTGATCTTTCACCAAGATTTGCGGATGTTTTAATCATAACAATGTAACCTGTTGTCCTTATTTTAACTGTCCTCCTGTTTCTTTTGATTGATCCCGACTGTAAGTTTCCCCGGCTATAATAATGTAGCTCTGTATATCCGTCTTCCTAAATATTTGTGCTAAATCGAAATTCAGAATGTTATTATGATTTCTTGTTCTCAGTTGGGGAAGGTCTAGGAGGGCTTTACATGTAGCCCCTAAGGCCAGAAGTCAGTTATGCTCTGTTAATCAGCTCGGGACGCTATGAAGGCGCCCAACTTGCAGAAAGCAACTTTCCAGCATTTTCTGAACATTGAGCCCAAACAGCAGAATAAGGCTTCTTCTGAGGTCATTCTCAGCTTCTGACACACTTCTCTACAGACCAATAACATCTTCTGTTATTATACCGACATAATAATAAAATGGGGCCTCCTCCTGCCAGTCACTAAGTGCTTCCTAGAAAGTGTTGTGTATGTTCAGCCAATCACCAAAACTCCAGAAATCACAGATACTAGTATCACATCAGCACCTCACAGGATTAGGCTGGATGTTGCCTCTTCACCAGTGAGCCCCTTGATTCATGCTACTGCCGTACTGCAATTACTGGAGTACCAGGAAGAATCGTAGGTACTAGGGATTAAGAATCCTTATTGGTTCACTTTATCCATACTTCTGCCAACACAGAGTTGCTCACAATAGCAAATCCTTGTACCTGATACATTTTGTAGCAACTATTTGGCTTCTATATGAAGTGTGGAGTGATGTGAATTACAGCACAGTGGCTGCGATTGCCCATGGGGTTCGTCTGGGGTACGCTTCCTTTTAAGTTGAGATAGCATCTGACTAACTGAAATGCCTGTCACATTGCATTAGAGATTTAAAGGAGCGCGTTTATTTTTAAGTGATTACAAACCACTGAAAGTAGCCAGAAAAAGAAAAAAGGACTTGCCTCAGATAGTCTTTCCGATCCATGTTAATTACCCTATGGCCTGGCACCTCTCTGGTTGTTTGCATTCTTTAACAGTCCTACTAAGTCAGTCTGACCAGCCTCATTCATTTCCTGTCTTCCTTTACACGCATAGATCAACTTGACATCATTTCTATGGCTGAAACAACAATGATGCCTGAGGAAATCGAACTGGAGATGGCAAAGATCCAGAGGCTTCGCGAAGTCTTAGTCAGAAGAGAATCAGAACTCAGGTTTATGTAAGTACCAACCCTTCGGGGAAAAATGCTATGCAAAATTAATCAACATAGGAAGGAATGCTATTTAGGGGCTACTTATCTGCTTGACATTAAAACATAACAAAACAGAAACAAACAAACAAACCTCCCCCCTCCAAAGGTGATCTGTTGTTTGCAAAGGAAATGTTGGAGCTCTGCTTCTCTGCAGAGCATGTTTTCATACCAGAGTTCATGTTGCATGTGGGAGGGAGCGAGGTCTGAAAGAGCAACTAGTGGGTTGCAAGGTCAGGTGGTTCAAAAATCTAATCCAGGCTCTGCCATTTACTTGACAAATGTTCGTAGGCAAATTATGTCACAAGAGATCAGCCCATGTTCTGAAATAAAACAGCCAAACTTGACTTTTCATAAATGGAAGACATTAAGCTATGAGTATAAAGCAAGTTCTAAGAGATCAAATTAAAAATGTTACTGTAGGAGAGATTTTCAAGACACAGAAGGGATTTAGGAACACAAATCCTGGTAAAGGTCAGTGGATATTAGTCCAAATCATATTGGAAAGACAATGGGACTTGAACCCCTAACTCCCTGACAGGATTTCAAAGAACCTGTCAGGTTTTTCCTTAGTTATTCAATGGGACTTCAATAACTAAGGAGAAACCTGAGAGAGCCAACATGAGTATTTAAGGTCAGAATTCAGCACTGTGCTAGTTAGTCCAACCCTTTGGCTAGGGGCAGACATTACACATAAACCAGTTTAAGTGATCAGAAACTGGTTTAAACCTGTAACAGAACAGACATTCAGTGCACATAAACCAGTTTCAAAATAGCTGAACGTGGTTTGAGATAAATCTGGTGAATGTAGCATCAGACTTAACTGATTTGGGTCAAACCAATTTGTGCAATGTCTGTCCCAGACCCCTTGCTGGTTTAAGTTAAACTAGAGTCCTCCAGCACCCCGGCATGCGCTCTGGGCTCAGCAGGGACCCCCAAGTGGAGACACTGGCTGGCATGGCCCTGTTAAGGCAAAGTGGGCAGAGAGGGCGTTGGTGATGTGTAGGGGGTGCACTTGGGTGCACGTGCACTCCCTGAGATTGGCAGTGCACCCCCTGTGATTGGCTGCCACTGCCGGTGGTGCCTGCGGGCGGTCGCCAGAGACAGCAACAAATAGTGCAAACTCTTTTTCTATCCAGTTTTGAAAATTGTACCATACTAGAGAATTTCACTCCAAAGCAAATGTATAGCCATATTTTTCAGCCTTTGAAAATAAAGGTTGAATACAGCCATGCTGTCAGACTGTTAACAACAATGCTGGAATGGTATGGCTATCACTAGGGACCTACTGAAATTGCAATTTTGCAATTTTCGTAGAAACCACAATTTCGGCCAGGCCCCATGAAAAAGCACAGGCTCCATGCTTTGGGTGGGCACCCTGAGAAAGACAAAAAACACACCAAAACTGAACTGTGGCTCCCTCTAGGGAGCCAGCAGTCCTTGTGGCCGCTGTGGCCCAGCTGTGCAGCCTGCTGGGGCAGAAAAGGGGAAGGCAGCTGCTGGCACGGCAAGATAGCTGCTGCCCCACCCCTCACAGCTGATTGGCTGCAATCAGCAGTGAGGTATCGGGCCACCAGCTCCCCTTGGCCAATCAGAGGTGTGTATGTGGGGGCCACCAATGGCTGCCAGCCCCATAATCTACCCTCAAAATCAGCCAGCAGTCGTCCAGTTCAGTAGATCTCTAGCTTTGACAAACAAGAGTGAGCATTTTTTTTGTTACACCTGCTGCCAGGTAATCAGATAAGTACTCTGCTCTCAGCTCCTATCTGGACAGACGGGATCAAGCAGAACCCTTGTGTGACAGCAGTGCCGCTAGTGGAGCCTCTCCGGGTATGGCCCCACCCTCCTGTAATGGGCCAACCGCCTGCTTACTCGCCTGCCACACCTTGATCTTACTTAATTAATAGATTGTTGTAATTAGCGGGAAGCTGCCCATTTTCTATGCGCCCCGATGACAGGGGGCGCTATCTGCAGCTCCTGTTCCTCCCCTACACCACAGCCCAAGCCTCGCAGATGGTGCTGGTGTGATCTAACTTTGACCCTGTTATATCTCGGCCCTTCTTTTTACCTTCAGGGCTCCTCACCGCCCCTCTGCCCTCTCGGGGCTCCTCTGCCCCCCTCTGCCTTCTCAGGGCTCCTCTGCCCTCTCAGGGCTCCTCGTCGCCCCCTTCAGTTGGGGCTCCTTGCTGCCCCCTAACTCCGGGGCTGGGGCCAATGCCCCCCAAACAATGCTGCACCCTCTGCAGTGCCAGGAACCCCCCACGCTACTGTGGGGTCCCTATGAGGCCTCCTCGACCCCTTATAGCCTCACCCGGTCCTCCGGTGAACAATAAACACAAAACATAAAGCCCCTGGGCTATAACATAAAGCTAAACCATCCGGTCACACAACAGCTCACAAATATTCCCGCAGCAACCCGCGGATACTCGTGTAGCCAAACCTTGGCCTTCTCTCCGCCCTGGCTGAGCTCCTCACTCCTTGGCTGTCAGAGGAGGAACTGCCACCCTAGCCTCCTGCCTGGGCTTAAGAAAGGCTAAGCCCTGCCTCTTCCTGTCAGGGGGTTTTGCCGGTTGCCCTGGCAATCAGCACCTGTGTTGGCCTGGTGACTGGAGGCTGCACCTTCCCTTTCTCACCGCTAGGGGCTCTCTGCAGCCATCCCTGTTCTTAGGCGCAGGGCACCTAAGTGCTCTGCGACACCTTGCCACAATGTCTGTATTTTCCTTGGTATTTTATATGTCAAACAGAATACAAGGAGTGAAGTAAGCTGCCCTAGTCAAAGAGTACCATAGTAGTCTGTCTGTCCTGCCTTTATAGCTTTCTCTATTCATTTTTTCCTACGTGTTTTTGTTTCCAGTCTGCTCCCCAGTGTTTATGCTTAGAGCTGTTCTCAACATCCTTATTTCTTGTCAGGTGTTCAAGCAAGCAGGTGAACCCTGAAAATTTGACAGTCAGGCTGCTGAAAAAAAACTTTAGCCAACTTTGCACCATTAGCAGCCTTCCCCTGTGTCATCCATAACCTGTGTGGTTTGCCTAAGGGTACCCAGGGACATGCAGCAGCCATCCACGTATTGAATGAGGAAAACTGCTCTGAAAACTCATCAACAGGCTCAATCTCCATATTGGCTGGCTACTTGCTCCAGTATAATTCAAAGAATTGATAATGATTTTAAAAATCCTTTATGGTCTGGGATCTGGCTGCTCTATGCCCCACAGATAAAATCATGTGGAAGGCTCTTGCTGTTGATTCATGGGCTAAGACTATGAGGTTGGCAGCAAGAACCTCTCTCAGTCCAAGGCCCCCCCAACACTGGAACTTGCTTACCTTGGTAGTTTCTTAATTGGTTTTTAAAGCTTTCCTAGGAAATTCCTACCAAAGAGCAACCACAGAAACAGTTTATATACTGTTTATATACCAGGCCTTGCAATGGACCCAGATGCCTTCTGTGCCCCAACATCAATAGTTCACATCATCACTGGACTGAATCACACACTGTCTACATTGGAGAGACAGGGCTATCCATATGTGAAAGATAAACACCAATCTGACATCAGCTGTAGAAAAACATGCAGGCCTGTGGCCTTTAACCTCCTTGGACGCTCCATTGCTGATCTCAGGGTAACTGCTCTTAGGCAGCAAACCTTTAAACAACTATGGGAATGGGAAATTGTGGAACAAGAAATTATCCATGGACTGGACTGTGTTAAGTATGATTTGAACAAGCACTATAGATTCTTATCCCATTACCTGGATTAGCTTTTGTGACTCCTTTGTTCAAATGGGTTTATCCTTGTTTGTTTGCCTCTCTCAGCACTGACCCCGTTCTCCTCTTCTCCCTCTGTCTCCCCCTTCCCTTCTATATTCAAGTTTATCTCTGCTTCTTATACACTGGTTTGTCCATGCCTTTTCACAGCATTTGATGAAGTGAGCTTTAGCCCATGAAAGCGTATGCTATATAGACAGCACATATATGCACACGCATATACTTTGGTTAGTCTACAAAGTGCAAATCTACCCTGCCTGCTACTTGACTTCAAACTAATATGGCTAACTACATCATTCTTAAATACACCAGAGTTTACAGTGGCATAGAGGTACAGGGGCATGGTGTAGACAGACCTTAACAGCAGCTCCACTCAAGTCAATGAAGCCATGCAAATTTCCATCAGTTGAGGAGGCTGCCCAGAGCTTTCTAACTGAAATGATTGGAAGCTTTTTGCTTTGCAAACTGCATTTGAACAATCTCAGGAAATGTCTAATAGGCTGCTAATACAACTCACTCTTACTGCAGGCTTGAAATAGCTTAGTGGTAACACATGCATTGACTTCCATAATCACACAGACACTTCCTGCAGCATGCATGTTGTCCAGAGAAATACGTGCTGCCATAAAACAAGGGACATTTGATGAAGAGAAATCATCCAGGTTAGTATAGTGTCTAGTAGTAAAATAGATAGCAAGTTCTGGTTGCCCAGCAGGCTCCACAGCCTATTAGCATTTCCTCGCTCCTTTGTCTTTTGCATTTAAGTCTACAGGAAATTACACAGTAGCTTCTGATGTCATAGCTAATATATCATAGAATCAATGAGTTGGAAGGGACCTAGACAGATCATCGAGTCCAACCCCCTGCCACGGGCAGGAAGGAGCCCTGGGGGTGGGAGGGGTCGTAAGACCCCAGCCAGGTGCCTGTCCAGTCTCCTCTTGAAGATTTCCAGGGAAGGTGAGAGCACCACCTCTCTGGGAAGCATATTCCGGGCTCTGGCTACCCTTACAGTGAAGTAGTTCTTCCTAATATCTAACCTAAACCTATCCTCCCTCAGCTTGTGGCCAGTGTTCCTGGTGACTCCAAGGGGGGCC